ATACAGATTTATACCTAGGTATTTTGGGGTGCTGTTACAAATGGCATTGTTTAAGTTTAATGTCCAATTGTTCATTGGTAATATGTAGATATACAATTGATTTTTGTAGGTTGACTTCATATTCTTGTACCTAGGTCAGCTCATTTATTAGTCCCAGGAAGCTTTTTTGTAGTTTCCACGGTTACTCTACATAGACAATTACGTCTTCCATGAATAATGGCCATTTTATTTATTTTTTTGTACTGTATGCTTTTTATTTCTTTTTCTTGCCTTATCGTGCTGGCTCATACTTCCTCTATTGTGTTGAATAGAGTCCTGGGAGTAGACATCCTTGCCCTTGCTCCTGATCTCCAAAGGAAAACACTGAGTCTTCCACCATCAAGGATAATGTTCATTTTAGGTTTTGTCACAGATTGTCTTTGTCATGTTAGAGAATTCTTTTCTATTCTTAGTTTCCTGAGAGTAGTTTTTATCATGAATGGATATTTAATGTTGTCAAATGCTTTTTCTGCATCTATTAAGATCATGTGACTTTTCTTCAGTGTATTTATATAGGCAATGACATTGATAGATTTTTATTTATTATTTATTTATTTAAAAAAAATTTTAAGATTTTATTTATTTATTTGACAGAGAGAGACAGCGAGAGAGGGAACACAAGCACAGGGAGTGGGAGAAGGAGAAGCAGACTTTCCGTTGAGCAGGGACCCCAAAGCAGGGCTCCATCCCAGGACCTTGGGATCATTACCTGAGCTGAAGGCAGACACTTAATGCCTGAGCCACCCAGGCACCCCAACATTGATAGATTTTTAAATGTTGAACCAGTCAAAGCTGGGATTTGTGGGATTAACTCCACTTGGTCATGACAGATTGTCCTATTGCTGGATTGATTTGTTTCTATTTTGTTTAAGATTGTTTCTGTCTATATTCATGAGGGATATTGGTCTGTAGTTTTCTTTTCTTGATATGTCTTTGTCTGGTTTTGCTATTAGGATATTACTTGCCTCATAAAATGAGTTACAAAGTATTCCCTTCTCTTTTATATTTTTGTAGAGATCCTGTAGAATTGATATTATTTATTCCTTAAATATTTGGTAGAGTTCACCACTGAAACTATCTGGACCTAGAATTTTATTTGTGGAAAGTTTCTTAACTACAGAGTCAATTTCTGTAATAGATGTAGGTTATCCTGATTTTCTGTTTTTTTCTTGAGTGGAATTTTGGTAGTTTGTGTCTTTCAAGGAACTGGCCCCCTTCATCTTGTTGAATTTATGGGCATATTATGCTCATAGGGTTTTTTTTTATTGTCCTTAGTGTCTGTGTAATCTGTGGTGATATCTGCCTTTGATTCCTGAAATTGATCATTTTCGCCTTTTTTTCCCCCTTGAACAGTTTAGATAGATGTTTATCAGTTTTTTTGGTCTTTTATAAGAATCAGGTTTGAGCCTCACTGATTTTTCTGTACAGTTGACCCTTGAACGACACAAGGGTTGGGGCACTGACCCCCTGCACAAGTAGAAAATTCACATATGACTTTTGAGCCCCCAAAAACTTAACTACTGATAGCCTACTGTTGACTAGAAGCCTCACTAATAACATAAATAGTTGATTAACAAATATTTTGCATGTAATGTGTATTATATGCCGTATTCTTAAAATAATTTTAGTTTACAATAGTAAGCTAGAGAAAAGGATGTTATTAAGAAAATTAGGAAGAGAGGGCGTCTGGGTGGCTCAGTTGGTTAAGCGACTGCCTTCGGCTCAGGTCATGATCCTGGAGTCCCGGGATCGAGTCCCACATCGGGCTCCCTGCTCAGCGGGGGGTCTGCTTCCCCCTCTGCCCTCTTCCCTCTCATGCTCTCTGTCTCTCATTCTCTCTCTCTCTCAAATAAATAAATAAAATCTAAAAAAAAAAAAAAAAGAAAATTAGGAAGAGAAAATACATCTGCAGTACTCTCCTGTATTTTTCAAAAACAAACTCTGTATAAGTAGATCTGTGTAGTTCAAACCCGTGTTGTCCAAGGGTCAGCAGTATTGCTTTTCTGTTTTAAATTTCATTAATTTCAGATCTTCGTTATTTTTCTGTTACTTGCATTAGAATTAATTTGTTCTTCTTTTTCTAGTTCCCCAAGGTAGGAGTTTAAATTATTGATTTGAGACCTTTCTTTTTCTCCAATATAAATATTTAATGCTATAAATTTCCCTGTAAGTACTGCTTTAGCTACATCTCATGGATTTTGATACTGTGTATTTTCTTTTGCATTCTGTTTAACATATTTTCTAAGTTCCCTTGAGACTTCTACTTTGACTCCTGGCTAATTAAGAAGTATGTTGTTTAATGTCCAGATGTTTGTGAATTTTCCAGATAGCTTTCTGTTACTGATTCTTGGTTTACCTTTGTTATGGTCAGAGAACATACTTTGAATGATTTCAATTTTTCTAAATTTGTTTGTTTTACAACCTTGATATTGTCTATCTTGACCAATGTTTCATGTGCACTTGAAAAGAATGTGTGTTCTGCTGTCTTTGGATATAGTATTCTATAAATGTCAATTAGGTCAAGCTGGTTGATAGTGTTGTTCAGGTCTTCCATATCCTTGCTGATTTTATCTCTACATTTCCACATATTACTGAAAGAGGAGTGTTTACACCTCTGTTAATTGTGGATTTGTCTATTTCTCATTGCACATCTGTCAGTTCTTGCTTTGTGTATTTTTAAATTCACAAATTTTAAATTGTTAGATGTGTGCACATTTAGAATTTATATTTCCTTGTAAATTTACCTTTTTATCATTCTGTGCTATTCTTCTTATGCATAGTAAATTCCCTTCTGAATCCTGCTTTGTCTTTTTTTTCTAATTTTTTATTGTTATGTTAATCACCATACTTACATCATTAGTTTTAGATGTAGCGTTCCATGATTCATTGTTTGTGCATAACACCCAGTGCTCCTTGCAGAACGTGCCCTCTTTAATACCCATCACCAGGCTAACCCGTCCTCCCACCCCCCTCCCCTCTAGAACCCTCAGTTTGTTTTTCAGAGTCCATCGTCTCTCATGGTTCATCTACCCCTCCGATTTTCTCCCCTTCATTCTTCCCCTCCTGCTATCTTCTTCTTTTTTTTTTCTTAACATATATTGCATTATTTGTTTCAGAGGTACAGATCTGAGATTCAATAGTCTTGCACAATTCACAGCGCTTACCAGAGCACATAACCTCCCCAGCGTCTATCACCCAGTCACCCCATCCCTCCCACCCCACCCCCCACTCCAGCAACCCTCAGTTTGTTTCCTGAGATTAAGAATTCCTCATATCAGTGAGGTCATATGATACATGTCTTTCTCTGTTTGACTTATTTCGCTCTCCCTTCTGAATGCTGCTTTGTCTTATGTTAATATAGCCACTCCAGATTTCTTCTAATCCGTGTTTGCATGGCATATCCTCTTTCACCCATTTACTTGTAATCTACCTAAATCTTATTAAAGTGGATTTCTTGTAGACAACATATAGTTGAGTCTTATATTTGTGCACTCAAACTCTGTTTTTAATTGGTTTGTTTAAAGTATTTAAACTTAATATGATTATTGATATGGTTGGATTTGGGGTGCCCATTTTGTTTTTCTGTTAGTTCTTTCTGTTTTCGTTCTTCTGTTCCCTCTTTCCTGCCTTTCTCTGAATTATTGAGTAATTTTTAGAGTTCCGTTTCAATTTGTATTTTGGATTTTTTGCTACATTTTATCATGTAATATTTTTAAAAGATTTAGTTATTTAGAGAGAGAGAGAGTGCATGTGCAGGGGGAGGGGCAAAGGGAGAGGGAGAATCTCAAGCAGATACACCGCTAAGCATGGAGCCTGATGTGGGGCTTGATCCCACAACCCTGAGATCGTGACCCAAGCCAAAACCAAGAGTTCACCACCTAATGCACTGAGACATCCAGGCGCCCCTCATTATATATTTTTTAGTGATGGCTACAGGGATTATAGCAGTCATACCAATTTTCAGTGTAGTTTTGGATTTAACGTTTTACCACTTCCAGTAAGTTGTGGCAGACTTACGAGCACCATCTTGTCATCACTGCCATGCACACACTGTAAACACCCCAGAAAGTGTTACAATGTTTGCTTTTAACAGTAATAAATATTCTAAAGAGCTTGAGAAAAAACAGTCTTTATGCTTCTTCGGGTACTGAGCATTTCTGTCGCTCATTCTTATTTCTCAAGTTGCAGGCTTCCTTGGGACCTTTCCCTTCAGCCTGAGCAACTTTTGTTAGCACTCCTTTCAGAGCAGGCCCCCTGAGGACATGTTCTCTTCATATTTATTTATCAGAGGATGGCTTCAGTTCACCTTCACTCCCGGAAGACACAGTTTGCTGAAGAGCAGGTTCTGAGTTTACAGTGCCCTCGGTCAGCCCTTCTGTGGTCTGAGCACGTGGCCCCTGATGGGAAGTTGGAGGCCGCCCACAGGGCCACTCCTCTATGTGTCCTGTGTCATTTCGCTCACGCTGCTTTCAAGATTGTTCTCCATCTTTGGTTTTCAGCAGTTTGTGGTGTTTCTGGGCCTGATTTTCTTTTAATTCATCTTATTTAAGGTTGTTCAGCTTCTTGAATCTGAAAAATATGTCTTTCACTAAATCTGGGAAAATTTTAGCCATTATTTCTTTAATTTTTCAGCATTGGTCTCTTTTTTCTCTTTCAGGGACTGAAATAACAATTGTATTGTACTTCTAGTATTATCCCGCAGGTCTCTGAGCCTCTGTTCATGTTTCCCCGACATTTTTCTTTTCTCCTCTATACTGGATAGTTTCTACTATCTTTAAGTTCACTGGCTCTCATTTTCTGTCATCTCTGTTCTGTTACTGAGCTTATCATGTGAATATTTGGTGGTGTTTTAAGATATCACATGATTCTATCGTAGAGAAAACTTGAGAGCCACTAGCTTCATACCTCAGGCCTCGGTGTCCTCACCTTAAAAAATGGGGTGACAGTGCCTGCCTTACCTTGCAGGGTTGCTGGGCCCAAAGCATGGGGTCTGAGACATCCAGTAGCCTCACCAGATCCAGTCAGGGAGTCGAGACCAACCGAAACCCAAGGACTTCCCTTACCAGGTAGAGTGGGGTGTCTTTGTGGAAGGTACTGCCAAGCACAAAAGGATGTTGCCACGGAAGTTCTCCTGATTTGAATGGTGGTAACAGGAGAGAAGCTAGCAGGGACAGTCAGTCCAAGTTGTAAGGGTGTGAACGTGCTTAGTGAGCTGTCACAGGCTTTTCAGGGGATGTGGACACACTGTCCACCAGCCACAGGGCAGTTACACATGCCAAGACTGAGGCCAGTACCGAGTGCCAAGAGCACCAGGGGAGGGTGATGGTCAGGGTGGAGAGACCAGAAGTTTCATCTTAAAATATGTTTTTAAGGGGAAACTGCAGTATATAAAATTCACAGAAATCTATGTTTAGCATGTTACATAGAAATTTTTAAGTTTGTAGTTTAGGCTGCTGCCAGCAGCATTACTGTATATAATTACCGCAAGGGCCACACAGGCTGGAGCCGAAAGGAATTGTTCTCATATTTGCTGACTGGACCTGGTGGTGTACTCGCCAAATGACGTTTCAGTGTTAGACGCTTGTGTCGCAAAATAATATGCTTATGCGCAATACATCGGCATTGGCTATTTTGCTAAGGTCTGATAAAACGTGACATCACATCTCCACACACTGTAAACACCCCAGAAAGTGTTACAATGTTTGCTTTTAACAGTAATAAATGCTCTAAAGAGCTTGAAAAAGCAGTCTTTATGCTTCTTCGGGTACTGAGCATACCTTAAATGGTACAGTTTTGGGGGCGCCTGGCTGGCTCAGTTGGCAGAGCATGCAACTCTTGATCTTGGGGCCATGAGTACAAGAACCACACTGGGCATAGAGTTTACTTTAAAAGTAATTTTAAAAAATAATATTAACATCAAGTGATACAGATTAATTTACAAGTAGATATTTCAGCTAAAGCTATTCTCCTCTTATTATTAACAGAATATCCAAGGTATCTCCAAGCACCCAATTCAAATTACTAAACCGCAAAATGTTAAAGGTAACACATTTCTCTCTACTTTGCTGAAGTACTGGATAACATTTTTTAAAATGTTAGAAGCAGATGAGCAGATCTGCTTCAAGGGTCCCTCACCTATAAGTGTTTATAATTGCTTTCCTGTAGAACTAAATTCTTTGCCTTCCTCAAGTTCTCTGTATTTGCATGACCAGGATTTAAATACACTGAAAAATAAAACACAGCTAAATTGATATGGCACCTCCCTTTTAGCAGTTTACAAGTTAAAATAGATGATAATTATACGAGGAAAGTAGCTCCCTTCCCACCACCTCTCCCCCACCAACTGCCCAATAGAGAAAAAAAACAAACATACAATAGACTGGCTCTTATTAGAGTCTGAAAGCTACTGGAAATGTTTATAAAAGCATACCAACACTGTTCTTTCTTCTGAGCTGTTCCACTGTAAGTTACATTTCTAAAAAAGAAAAAGGTCACATCTGAGCAAAGTAGGTTCTGTGGCCCGTCCCTCCAGCTCCTGCACCCTTGGTGGGGTGCTCCTGCCCTCTGCTTGGACACCACAAGACAGTGAAGCATGACCGGGTCCTTTTCAAATACACATTCACCCTTAAGCAGGACCCATGGAGGTGTCTCCTACTGCCCTTTAAAACATATTCTGTGCATCGAGGACCCACGCTTCCCCAAAGCCTGTCTTCTAGGCTGTGAGGCTCTGGGGGCCTCCAGGACATTCTTACTGGAGTACATTCGAGGTCTGCATTTGAGCTGTTCCTCACCAAGAATTCTAGACAGGATGTAAAATTTTAACAACAGAAAGCCTACTTTACTCTCAGCAGTACCATGTTGCTTTTAAATTATATTAATAAAAATATTCAGAAAAGTCAGAAATCTGGACTCTCGACTTTGGAATGATATTAAAATAAACTCTGTGTGAGGAATGGCTATGAATCAGCTTATGACCAAATTCACCAAGTGCTCTTGAAATACTGTTTCAGGTACAGAAGGCGCGATGCTCACCATCTCCCCGAGGAGCATGTTTGTTGCGCCCAAGGGCCACACCTTCCTGGCAGCAGGTACGTGCAGTCGGTGCCAGAGAGATGTCCTATGTCATGGTGGCTCACTTTACATGTTCAAATACTTGGAAGGTGGATAATTCAAAGGTACTTACAGAATTCATTCTTTAAAGTAAATCCTAAGGCAAATATTTATACAAAAGAAAGATTTCTTGTGCACAGTAAATAAGAGCAGATCTGCTTCAAGGGTCCCTCACCTTCTCCAGATCCCAGATACCCCAACGCGGTCCCACCCAGCCTGCCCCTCCTTTCTCCTCTCTGTCCTCGGCACGCTCCGCGCTCTGCCCCGCTCGCTCTCTGCAGATGGGCTGGCCTCCAGCCCAGGCCAGCCCCACCTCATGCCCGCGTGGAACCTCTTCACTAGATAACATCTCGCTCCCTCCTTCGCCTCCTCTGTCTTGAGGAGGTGTACCCTGACCACCCTCTCCCTCCTGAACCCCCTTTCTTGATCTGTCTTTTCCAGTTCACTTCTCATCTTCTGATGTACCAGATAACTCACACACATTGTCTCCTGCTCCTAGAACATGGGCTCCACGAAGAAAGGCTTATCTGTTTTGTTCATTATCAAATCCCAAGCACACCTCCTGGCACCCAAAGGCACCCTCTAAACTTCTGATGTATAGAATGAACAAATGAGTGCATATGGCCTATCCCGGAGGTGTTGCTGGCCTCACGGAAGGCAGGACAAGGACCTTAGACTTGCAGACACAGGGATGGCCAGTGGCCCTGAGACCAAAGGACCCTGGCAGGTGGGTGGGAGGATGTTGCTCCTGATGCTGCAGTGGGGACGGAAGGTTGAGGGTGGGCTGCGGCATGGGTAGCGGTGACGAGGGACACTGTCGGCAGATTCAGAATTAATGTGAATTCTGTCTCACAGACTTTGCACAGATTGAATTGCGCATTCTTGCACACTTATCTGGGGATCCAGAACTTTTGAAGTTATTCTGGGAATCTGAAAGAGATGATGTATTTTCCACCCTGACTTCCCAGTGGTAAGATATATGAGCTCACAATATTATCAGAGCTGCAGGAATGCTGACATGATTTTAAAATCCTGAAGTTATTCCAAGGCTATTTTCATAAGAAGGAAATTATATTTTTCTCTAGTAGTTAATCCTTTTGAGAAAAGAGAAGTAGATAGTTAGAATGCCAAGATTTCCCTAATTATGAAAAAACTGATGGCTCTTCACCACCAAAAATACAGCCCATTGCTAGAGAATGTAATAGAGATATTGGAAGAATCCAATGTGGGAGTCTGTGCTCTCTCCACGCGGGTGTGCGAGCGGCGAGGCTGGGTGTGGGCGCTTCCTCTCTGCACCCCACCCCATCAGGGCCAGGAGCACATCAGACTGCAAGGACAGTCCCTGCCTGACAGTGACCTGCGCTCAAAGAGGATTCTGGAGACAGACAACCTTGGGTTTGGCTGGGCAGTTTGACAGTGTCCTCAAGCACTTGTCCTTGTGCGTCAGTGTTCTTAGGCGGTCAGCTTTTCCTTATCCTGGCTGTGGATCCCCTGCTGCCTCTTGTGCAGAGTGGGCTCTCCCCTCAGACCGCCCTTGCCAGGGGCAGGGGTCCTGCCCAGGCCCTGCTGCAGACGGCTCTTGCACTGCCGTTCCAGAGCGGGGTCGTGCAGCTGCAAGGGAGGCTGGTAACAGCCACTCTCTGGACAAAGAGGAAGTCACAGTATCCACCAGAGCCAGGTACGCCGCTGCCTGGCACTCAGTCAGGATTCTGCTACGAGGAAGAAGAGGCACCTCATCTGCTGTCCGTCCCCTCCTTCAGCAGCTGTAGGCACCACCTTCCCTTCCCCTGCAGGCTTCTCCACCAGGCTGCCCCTCCTGGGGGCCTCCTCACCCATCCCACCTTATCTTGGCGTCCACTCACCCTCAGGAGCCACCCTGGAGGCACCACTCCATGAAGGCTGGCCTCTGTGTTCTTGGGCCGCTACACATCCCTCTCCGTGCCCTTCACTGTCTTTTCTTTTTTTCTTTCTTAAAGATTTTATTTATTTATTTGACAGAGACACAGCAAGAGAGAGAACACAAGCAGGGGGAGTGGGAGAGGGAGAAGCAGGCTTCCTGCTGAGCACGGAGCCCAATGCGGGACTTGATCCCAGGACCCCGGGATCATGACCTGAGCTGAAGGCAGACGCTTAATGACTGAGCCACCCAGGCGCCCCATTCACTGTCTTTTCTGAAGGCGTGTGAGCCCTGCAAGGGCAGGGCCATGTCCCCTCATCCAGCACGGTGCCGGTCCTCCCCTCTCCGCCTCGGCCCCCCTGAGCCACCAGGTGTTCCAGGTACACGCCTCACTCAGGCCTTTCCTTCCCCTGGCTCGGGAAGCTCTTTCCCCGAGTGTCCCCGTGACTCACCCTCAGCTCACTGTGTGACGCCTCGGCTTCCCTCGAGGATCTGCCCTCCCACCACTACACATCTCTCCATTGTCTCCACCCTGCATGTCCCGCTGGAATGTCAGCTTGCGGAGGGCAGGGCCACCTGGCCCTGTACCTGCGGTGCTCCATGAGGTGTGGAGTCTCAGCCTGCATCTGTGAATGAAACAGTCCTGTTGGCCAGGAAGCATCTCCTCTCCAGAAACCCCCCACCACAAGATTTATTTGAATTAAAAAAAAAAAAATCAGGAAGAAGTATTGTTGTCAAGGTGACAGAGGAGGGAGGATACTGCTGGACACCGAGCTGGGCTTTAAAGAGTGGTTGTGGGTAGTAGGGTTATGCTGGCATCCCCAGGGGAAGCAACAAACTCCACAGCAGAACAGGGCATTAGGCGGCGGGACAGCGAGTGGACGGCACGGCAGGACGGTGTGCAGCCATCAGGCCCACTGCCAGCTCCCAGCAGCCTGCCATCTGGCCTTGGGCCGGGGGCCTCCTCTGTGCGTCCCCTCCTTGTCCTAGGCGCTGTCCAGGGGCCCAGCCCTCCCCTGACGCTGGCCACTCTGCTGGGCAGGGCCCATCTCACACGGAGACCTTGCAGAGCTGTGGTCTGTGTTCCTCTCCTGCCGGCCGCTCCTCACCCCCCAACTGCCAACTTGAGGCCCCTCCCACCCCCAGCCCACCCAGCCGTCCTCCCCTGTGCAGGTTCCCTTCCTGTGAGTCCCGCCTGGGATGCAGCCCAGACTCCCCTTCCGTGCCTCCTGCATGCCTGGGCGTGCAGTCGTGGCCTGCTGGATGACCACTAGGTAAATGAGGGCGTGATGGACCCCCACTTCCCCATCGAGCTCTGTCAGCTGCTCCATGTAGGACTTGCTGCTCCCTTCACTTCTCCCCTCCCTGGCTGCATGTTTCCAGCCCTGGGTGATCCCACCCCCTGCTTTCCTACTGCCCAGCCCCAAGATGCTGCAGGAAGCCATAAAGTGGTGAGTGAGTGGGTCCATCATAAATCTGGGTCATCCGACCTGAGAGGGACCCTTATTAGTCTATTCGTCAGCTGCTCCAAGTGTTTTTAGACTTGCCACAAACGTCTACTCTTCTCCCTTGATCTTCTTTTTTTTTTTTTAAGATTTTTAAAATTTGTTTGACAGAGAGAGACACAGCGAGAGAGGGGACACAAGCAGGGGGAGTGGGAGAGGGAGAAGCAGGGAGCCCGATGCGGGGCTCGATCCCAGGACCCAGGGATCACGACCTGAGCCGAGGGCAGACGCTTAACGACTGAGCCACCCACGTGCCCCTCTTCTCTCTTAATCTTGAAAGAGAACCTCACCTTTCACTTGATTGACAAAAAAGAGGGCCTCAGACGTGAGTCCCTGAACCCCCTCCCACTTTGTCTCAGTGTGTCATTGCATGTCCTCCTCCCAGTCTTCAAAGATTTCTGTCTCAAAAGAGGAAGCATCCTCTATTGCCCAAGTCAGGAAATCAGGACTGTGCATTGCACATCTCTAGGCAATGCCGTACATTTACACATCAGTGTGAATGGCACCTCCTGGAGTTGTGCAGTGCATAACCAGTACAACTTTACATGGCAGTCCTCATGTGGATTCCCTTTATTTTCCATTTTTACTCTGGTGTTGTTCATTTCCCCTTATCGACTTCACCTCCCCCACCCCCCCGAAAACAACAACAACTGTCTAGGGTTGCCTTCAGGGAAATCCTATTTTCAACCCCATTGGAGCCCTTAGTTACTGTTTAGGTACAAAAGAAGTCTATACTTACTCCTTGTTCTTTCTCACCGCTGGCTCATTCTGGCTTTTTTGAATAAACTTTCACTTTACCCACTTAGGCTTTTCTTCTTCCACTTTGGAGCCTGGAACTCCTCCTATCTAAGACAATGACTGCCTTTCTTCTGGGTGCAGTTGGCGCTGAGGTCCACAGCCTGCACGAGGACGCTCGGGCGCTGCCCACCCGCAACCCCTAGTTCAAAGGCTCTGCAGGGGTCTGTCCCTGACCCTGGGCACCTCCAAGTCCCGTGCTCTCTCCTGGCCTGCTGCTCCAGGGAGATGCCCTTCTCCTTGGTTTGCTCCATTGGTTCTTCTTAAAACTGAGATGTCATTTATATACCATAAAATTCACCTTCTGAAAGTGTACAATTCAGCAGTCTTTAATACATCACAAGGTTTTGCAACCATTGCCACTGCCTAATTCCAGAACATTTCCATCCCTCCAAAGAGAAACCCCATCCCCATTCCTGTCGCTCCCCATTTTTCTTTCCCCCATGGAAATCGCTAATCTGCTCTCTGTCTCTCTACATTCATCTGTTCTGGATTTTTCACATTAATGGAATCGTACAATATGTGGCTTCCTGTGTCTGGCTTCTTTCACTGAACATAATATTTTTAAGGTTCGTTCTTGTGGTAGCTAATATCAGTACTTCCTTCCCTTTTATGGCTGAATAGATTCCATTATATGGAATCACGTATTCTATATATTTTGGTTTAAACAAGCAAATAATCTTCCATTTGTTTATCCATTCACAGTTGATGAGCATTTGGGTGGTTTCTACCTGGCTATTAGGAATAATCCTGCTGTGAACATTCACATACAAGTGTTTGTGCGGGTACGTGTTTTCATTTCTAATGGGTAGACACCTAACAGAATTGCTTGGGGCATATAGTAATTCTGTGTTTAATTTTTTTTCTTGTGGTAAGACACAATAACATAAAATTTACCATCTTAACCACTTTAAAATGTACAATGCAATGGCAACTATATTTAAGTTTTTGAGGAACAAAATAGCGACACCACTTAACACTCTCATAAGCAGTGTATGGGGTTCCAATTCATCCACATTCTCGCCAGTACTTTTTATTGTCTGTCTGGTTCCATTGGTTCCAGCTGTCCTGGTGGGTGTGAGGAGTTGTCTCACTGGGGTTCCGACTCACGTTCTGTGATGACTGAGGATGCTCAGCACCTCTCCCTGTGCGCATCGTTTGTGCTTTATCTTTGCCTCTTTTCCCTCCTTTGCACCTGGAACACAAGTGCTGACCCGGCTTCCTCCCTAATGTCCTTTCTTTCGTTTCACTCTCCCTCTAGTGAGGATATAACATAATACAGAGTTTTTAAAGCATGTAATAGATTTAGTTACACCCCTGCCCTCTCTCCAGAGTTATGGAAAGCAAGGACAAAGAAGGAAATAATAAAGTTAAGAGCAGAAATCAATAAAATCAAAACTAGGAAAACAATGGAGAAGATCAATGAAACAAAAGTGGATTCTTTAAAAAAAATCAATAAAATTCATAAACCAACAAAGA